TTCTCTCCCCTAAAAGCCTGCCCAAATAACGTGCGTAACTGCAAGAGTTCTATGTTTGCCATGAGATTTAGCTTTCGACACGATCGTAAACGAGCGAACCTTCAAGTCGGTTTTACTTTGGTGGAACTGTTAGTTGTCATCGCAATCATCGGTATTTTGATGTCGCTCCTACTTCCCGCCGTCCAGCAGGCCCGGGAAGCAGCACGGCGGATGCAATGCACCAACAACCTGAAGCAAATCGGGTTGGCCATGCATAATCATCTGGACATTTACGATTCGTTTCCAGGCAACTCACCTTCAGGGAAATACAACACTTCTCTGTACCGAATCCTGCATAGCCTCGATCCAGCACTTGCCCAACATTTGCCTGCCGAAGAGGCATGGTGGGGAGACTTTTCCGCTGCCCATATGGAAATCGCCAAAACGACTGTTCCGACGTTTCTGTGCCCTTCGGATCCAGTGCAAAGTACGCACGGGTGGTTTGGTACCTATGGAGATGTGAACTACGTGGGAAATTTTGGCTGGCCGCGAAATGCCACTGGAGTGAACGGTGAGCGTGCTATGTCAGCCAATGAATGGCCCAAGCCGAACGGAATGCTGGGAATTGACTACAACTTCAACTCATCCAATAGTGCCGCAGCAAAGGGCGACCCTACCATTAAACTCAAGCCACGCGACGTAACTGATGGCCTGAGTAATACGGCTGCTTACAGCGAATTTTTGAAGAATGACGGAACGCTCTACTTGGACGCAAGCGTGCCCGATACTCGGGTTATCTATGGTGGACCATCGAATATCGGGCCTGAAACGCTGCCCGCACTTAGGGATATTTGCTTAGGACTTCCCATCGAGGAACGGCATTCACTGTCAACCAAAATCGGTGCACGATGGCTCGATGCGCACTATGGATCAGTGATGTCCTACAACCACTTGATGACACCGAATACTCGCGCCTGTTATTTCGACATCGGCGGCGGTGGAGGTTGGGCAGATAAGCTACACGAATGGGACGGCGACAGTGGAGCATCCGCAAGCAGCGCTCACCCAGGAGGTGTCAACGTTCTACTGGGGGATGGTTCGGTACGATTTGTCGCCGAAACGCTCGACACGATCACCTGGTGGGCACTTGGCTCGCGGAATGACGGAATGGTCTTAGGCGAGTATTAGGCCGAGCTACAAGTTCCGTGCATTGAAAGTGGCCATTTCCAAAGAGATGATCACTTGCGATGCCAAATGAAAACCCGCCCGACCTCGTGTGGTGATCTTTATTGAGTCCACGGTGGCTAGAAATTGTCAGGGGCCTATCGTCTAGCGAGTAGGTACCCTGGTGCTTCTCTCTGTTACACCAAGAAATACTTCTATGAGAACTCTTGCATCAAGTTTACTGACTCTCATTTTGCTTTCGGGATGTGGACCTTCCGAAGGAGTCCTAGATAAGCAAGATGAAAAGTGGGAAGCAACCTTGGAAGAACAGATGGTTGATCCACCCGGGATGTCTGGTCGTGACAAAGAAGCGCGTCGACTGCGGCTCCAGCTACAGTACGGCCCAGAGGCCGTCGAGCGGTACGACCAAAAGAATCGCGAGAAAGCCTCAAAATAAGCGACGCGAG